GAGAAAGTTCTGACCCCTCCAATTATCGTCCGATCAGTCTTCTTTCTGTTATTAGCAAGGTCTTTGAGTCTTTAATCAACAAATTCCTCACATATCATCTTGAGTCAAATAAACTACTGTCAGATAATCAATACGGTTTTCGATCCTCTCGCTCTACGGCCGACTTGCTAACTGCTGTAACTGAAAGATTTTATTGTGCATCAGATGGAGGCGGTGAGGCTAGGGCTGTTTCTTTAAAGCTTTCGTCAAAGTTTGGCATGCTGGTCTTCTCCATAAGCTTGCTTCATATGGTGTTTGTGGGAAAGTTTTTGAGATTATCAAATCATTTCTTTCTAACCGGTTTATTAAGGTGATCCTTGAAGGCCAACACTCTTCTTTATTTCCATTAACTTCTGGGGTTCCCCAAGGTTCCATCCTGGGCCCTGTTTTGTTTCTTATCTACATAAACGATCTTCCTGACAATCTTTCATCTAAAGTAGCTCTTTTTGCTGATGACTCAACTTTATACTCCTGTCTTGACAAAAAGTCCTATCTTTTTTATCGCCTAGAACAAGCAGCTGATCTTGAATCCGATCTCACTTCAGTAATAGATTGGGGTTCACAGTGGCTTGTGGATTTCAACTCTAAAAAAACCCAGTTGCTTACTGCAAACAACTACCGTAATATGGTCAACATTCCTATATTAATGAATGGCAATCCTCTTACTGAGTCGTCCTCTTTACGTCTTCGTGGATTATCGCTTACTACTGACCTTTCATGGAAACCATATATACAATCGATTGCTAAATTAGCTTCTGCTAAGGTTGCTTCTCTTTATCGTGCTCGCCATTTCCTTACTTCTGATTCCGTTCTCTACCTCCACAAATCTCTTATTCGTCCCTGTATGGAATACTGTTGTCATATTTGGGCTGGTTCTTCTAACGATTCACTTTCTCTTCTTGACAAGGTCCAAAAACGCATTGTAAATGTTAATGGACCTTTACTATCTGCTAAGCTTGAATCTCTTTCCAATCATCGTAAAGTTGCATCTCTTTCTCTTTTCTACAAATACTATCATGGTCACTGCTCAAAGAAGTTATCATCTCTAGTTCCATCAACTAAAATTCATTCTCGTTTTACTCGTCATTCAGCTAAGCCTCATCGTTTACTGTATCTGTCCCTGCATGTTCTCAAAACTGTTTTTATGTTCTAAAAACTTCAATCTTTTGGAACTCTCTACCATCTTCATGTTTTCCTGACTCATACAACCTTCAACTTTTCAAGTCTTCTGTCAACCGTTTTCTTGCTCTATAACTCTGTTCTTTTTTTTCCTAGTAACTCCCAACTTGATAGTGGTTGATTGCAGCCTTGTTGGGAGTGAATGGAAATAAAATAAATAAATAAATAAATAAATATACAAAATCTTAAGTGTTTGGTTACTATATCCCTCCATAAATATTAACATATCTTTGCTAAAGGAAAATATCTTGAACAATATGTGTTCAAAACTTTATCTCACTTTCATATTAGTGTAACACAACACCTTAATCCACTTATGTCTTCAAATGTCTAAATAAAAATATCGTTAATTTTATAAAGCTATTAGGCGTTTTTTTGAAACTAAATGCAGTAGTGATTCATATTTTATCTGTGTGAGCGAAAGTCTATACAAATATTTGACGTAAAAAAAACGCGTGCGTTTCAAATTACGTAAATTATTAAAAATTATATAAAATGTTACAGATTTACTTTTGAAAATTTTATTTCAATAACATATGTTTAACTTTGATTTATATGCATTGTTACAATGTTAAAAAAAAAAAAAAAAAGAGTTTTTCGTTTTATAAAGTTAAGTAATAATAAATAAGTCGTTTATTAAACAGTGTCAAAAGTTAATATTCTTAAAAAGTTAAAGTGGTTGAAGTGCTTCGTGTGGGTTCGTTTTTCTGATAAGCTGTAGATGACTTGAAAAACGAAATTCAGTTAATTTATAGAAATTTATCAAAGAATAATAGAAACTTATCAAAGAAAAAATACTAAAGTTCACCCGCGTTTTTTTTTTTCCAACAAAAGTCTACATAAGTTATTAAGTCCTTTACAATTTCTGTAGACTTTATAAAAAAAAAAAAAACGCGGAAAAACCTATTAATTTTTTTATTATCATATAAAAATTTTTATCAATTAATTTTAATACTGTTTTGCAAGAAAATCGTTATAACCAATACTGTTTTGTAAATTAATCGTTAACTAAAGCAAAGATTTTTATATTTTGCTTCAAAATTATTGAAAGGGTAGGTGTGGAATAGACTTGCCAAGACCAGTAATATATATAGAACTATAATAATATATAATTCAGTAATAATTGTAATATTTAATTCAGTAATATTTAAACGGGTCATGTTAAGTCTTTTACTCCACAGATTTAACACATCTCATGTTTTTTGAAACTTTTTATATCAATAGTATATAAATAACACATTTCAAGCGGGTATTCTAAATATTATTTACACTGGTAAGAATATCAAATTTGTTGATATATAGCGATTTGCTCAACGTCCAACGAAACGTTTAAAGTTTTTTAAAAATTAATTATAGTAGAAAGTTTATTTTATAGCTTTAAAAAGTAAACAATAAGTATAGTTTTTATATATTTATATAATTATTTTTTTACCGCTTACTAAAACATATTGAAGTAATGAATAAGTATAGAAAAGTCAGTGATTTACCGAGACCCGTATTTTAGGGGTCATGAAGCTAGTAAAGTATAATTTACCAAAATCAAAAAAAAACGAATGTTTTAAGGAATTAAAAAAAATATCAAAAACTTGTGCACTTATGATATAAAGTAAATCATATTCAGTGTAATTTTATTTACTTAGGTTTACTTTGAAGCTTTTGTTGTAATCTATTTAATAAACACAAAATTAAATTTATAAATATTTAAAAATTGTTAAATGTTTATCATTTTGTTACCTTTTAGAGTAATCAGCATTGTTCTTGAGAAAGAGTTTCATTTAATATCTAGTCATAAGCTTTGTAAAAAATTTAAAAAAAATGTATTTAAAACAATTGAAAGACTAATAATGGTTGAGAGGTGTAAAAAAGAAAAAAGACCTAATAACGAGAAAAAAATCAAGGTCTTAAATTCTAATTAGATAAATACTTACGAATGTATCCAAGGAAAAAACAGTTTGTCTAACACCTAGTTGACGGCAAAAGACAATTCTTCAAATAAAAAATATTTAAAAAAACTTTTTAAAAACATTTTAATAGTCTAAAAAGTAAAAAATAAACTCTTTCACGGAATCCAAGGACTTTGTGTACGTACACAACCAAAAATATCCATTAATGTCAATGACTAAAAATGTTGGGCAACTAAGTACAAATCGTTCCTATTGGCACCCAACACTTTCAGTCATTGACTTTAAGAGATAAATAGTTTCTTTTATATTTTTTTATTACTTTTATTTTTTTTTATTAATTATTTGTTTAACGATTTCTTTTAATGTTACCGCTGACCTCGTGTTTGTTTTGCGCGAACACTAAAAATAATAATAAATAAACAAACCGGCAAGAAAGCAAGTTAAATAAAATGTTCTAAAAAAACTCCTACTATTTAATATAAAAGAAATTTTTTTAGAGTTCATTAAAATTGTCTTTTTTAAGTTTTGTGAACTTAGACTTGAGTGGTGTTGGAGGTGTTTTTGATCTCCATTTAGTACCACTTAAATGCAAAAACTCATTTATTTGATTTAAGAAAACGTAAATCAAAAAACTAATAAAATGTAGAAATGATACCATCGTAATTATTTAAAACACTGTGCAAATTCACTTCATTGTTTTATTCATAAAATAATAAAATATTTAAGAGTAAATACCTTACTTCAACTCTGGTATTTATATCACTGTTTAAGTGTTATTGTATTTATATCACTAATAGTAAAGTTCAAAATACAAAAATTATTAAAGCATATCTAATTTATGTCAACATGAAAAAAATCATGAGGTATCTGCAGAAGGGCATTTTTTGCTAAATGACATTGAGAGAGCGTTTGTGACAGTGTTGAGGGCTCTGTAAAAAGACTTGTAGCATAGGTAAATTTTACAATCACTTGCAATTCCTATCAACCTTTTCGCCTGGTGTTTGTTTCAATTTCTAAAACAACAAGATAATTTTTACATCTTTGGGTTCTGATGTTTTGTTCTTAAGAGTAATATGCAATATCATTAAGTGTGGATTTTAACTTACTGCAAGTGTCAACTTTTAGATCTGTTAACATTTGATGTATTATTAAACTTTTTTTTCAATTAGACTTTTTGGGTTGCATCGTTTATTTACGTTTCATTTATTCATAAAAGATTTATTAAATGTAAGACACTCTGCTAATTAATGTTTCATTATTGACCCAGAGGGTGACATTTTGATTCATGATACCCTAATACTAAAATATCCAATAAAAAAAAAACTACATAATAATCTTAAATGCTCAGTGCTTAGATAAAAACAGAACTTTTAAAATTGATTAAAATATACCATAAAATAGACGAATAAATCCAGTCTTGTTGGTTATTTAAGTAAGGCCATGACTAGGTTTGGAAAAAAAAGCGAAACTAGGCCACATACCCCGGTTTAAATAGATTTAAATAAGATTTAAATAGAAATGAGTAAAAAAAAAGATATTAGAGATCAAATTCTTAATAAAAGTTATAAAAAATTCAAAAAATTTGATTACATATTTTTGCAAACAGAAGGAAAATATTCCTCAGAATAAAATTTAGGCTTTTGTGCTGATTAAACCAACATGAGTAAATTTTACATTTAAAATATTTAAATATATCAGAATATACATACTAAATATACATAATAAATATATATATATATATATATATATATATATATATATATATATATATATATATATATATATATATATATATATATATATATATATATATATATATATATATATATATATATATATATATATATATATATATATATAAACATATTAAATATATACCATATATCAGCCTTTTTTCCGTATTCTGAGTTATTAACACTAGCAGTAATAGTTTCCGGACTCATATAATAAGATGTTCCAGCAGTTGATTTACAACCTGCATAACTACGTATTGTCTAAAAATATATTGTAATTCAAATATATCACGAATAGACTGAGAATACTTTAAAAAAAAAATTATTTAAAATTTAAATCTTTGATAAAACTTATGTTACCTTAAGTTACTTAAGTTAGTTTTAAAAACAATTAATAAATACTGTTCTTAAAATGATTTTTTTTTTAAATTAGCAAGACACTTTCATAAAAATACTTTTTTAATAAAATAAATTTATTTAAAAATATTAATAAAAAACACAGAGTAAAATTAGTTTCACATCTTTTAACGAATATAAATATACATACAAATTTGCGTTATAACTTAATAACTTTTTTAAAATAATTTCCTGTGTCTTAAATCAACAAACATTCGCTCAAAAGTAATAAAAATTGTTTTTATTCTGATTGATTTTAAAAAAAAGGTCACCTAAAACGCGACGTTTTTATAATAGTATATACTTAGTATTTGCAGGAAGTAGCATTATGACTTTTTGCAGCCAATTTTCTTGAACATTATGGACTTTTTTAGAATTTTCAAGATTGTTCAAGATGTGTTTAAAAACCTCTGAACGGAAACAGTAAATATATTGACTTCCCAATCTGAGTCTGAGGCAGAATCCTATAAGTGTGAAGAGTAAGAAGAATTTGTCAACAGTTATCTCAAGATGGGATTGACATTCAGACAACTTAACAGCCTGATTTATTTAGATCAACAATTAAAGAAGCTTTTAAACTTAAGGAATAAATGTAGAAAACACTATATTTAGAAAACTGGTCACTGCATTTTGATGATAAACGTACTAATCACGAAGAATATAATGTGTTGTGTTGAAGAATATACAAAAAGAAATTATGTTACAAGCACTATGTCCACCATGTCTACTGTTGTATAAGCATAACAGCTATTTTTGATTACTAATTTTGGGAGAATATAAAGATGATTGTAGCGGTCACTACGAATGTAAACACTAGAAGAAATAATGAGATTGGCAGTTAGTTACTAATATGCATTACTGAAAAGAATCTAGGTTCTCCACTTAGCAATGGATGAAGAACTTGGAGGAAACAACATAACGCCCAATGTCGAATATCCTCAAGTAAACTGTTTACAGCTCAAAAAGATTTTCAAAAATGGTAACGAAGTGATTACAGAAACAGCAGGATGAATGATGAAATGAGATTTGTATTTAACTCGGTTCTTCCAGCTTTTTGAAAAATCTCCCAGAACAGAAATTCGCAGATCAAACCAGTAAACAGAATGAGCAATCAAATGTCTTCAAGATTTTTTTGACATCTTTAAAAAGAAAGAGAACCTCAAGCTTAGATTTATTTTGTCTAAGAAAGCATAAGAATTGTATAATAAGGTTTAATTAGGCTGAATACTACACAACATTTTTTATATGCATACAATGGTTTTCGTACTTGTAGAATTATTATTTAGGTTTGTAATTTTATATTTATTTGTAATTTAGATTGCTATGATGTAACAATAAACTTTTTTAAGTTTTTTTGTTTTTAAGCATTTTTCCATAATAAAAATAGAAAAACTACTTATAAATAGTTTTTTTACTAAAAAAGTAAAGTTACTACTTAAAAGCATTCTAATTAAAAAAAAAATTTCAAAATTTCTTGATAACACAAAAATTCGAATTTTTGTGTTATCAAGAAAACTGAATTATTGTTTAATCATTACATTAGTACATGTATTCATTAATATATATATCCCAAGAACTAGGGTTCACGAAAAATTCATAATCTTAACTAACATACTTACATACATTGATGTATATCACAGACGGATTTTAACTCTGTCAAGTGAAGCAAGTGACAAAACATGGTTCAATGAAACATTGGATACAATTATTAGTGGCTTTCAACTTCACCGAGTTGATAGAAATGGCAAAGGAGGTGGAGTTGCCATAAGCACGAAAGACGACATGATGACATCAAAAAGTCAAGATTAACCAACCAAATTCAAACTCAATAGAACAAGTGTGAAGAATAATAAAATACAAAAACGAATCATTTTTGCTAGGGAGCATTTTCAGGCGACATAGTAATTGACAATGTCATTGCATCTATAGCCGCAGCAAAGAACGCTCTAAATATAGAAAATTGTATAGCTATGCTTCTCTATGGCAATTTTAATTTTAGCCACACGTGGTATGAGCTTATCAACATTTGGGGTGGAGTGGCAACTGCTGGCCATGTGAATAATGAATGGTCCCAAGACTTTAAGTTTCAAGAATGCCTTGCAGAAGCATATTAGACACAGTTGGTAGGTTTCCCCACAAACTGCCAATTGTGCCTTGTACTTACAAAAATAACTCTTGACCTAATAATCAGCAACGAACCGGAATGAATACATGTTTCAGAGTCCAATCCTCTTAAAAACATGCTAATAGGACATCCGCATTGTCTTATTCAGGGCACATGACTGGTCTCTATACTCATGCGTTATCCAAAAACTAGCGTCTAATCTGGAGTAGGGCAGATTAAGATGCGGTAGTGGTGTAGTGGTAAGAGCGCTCGCTTTGTAAGTAAGAGGTTCGGAGTTCGACTCCCACCATGTCCCTGGAAGCATCGCGCTCAACTTAATTTCTCCGCGCAGGGGCCTTGCTTGTTAAGGTTCGTGTTTCGGAGTTAAAGAGTTGAGAGAGGGTTGTACCATGACAAAAAAAAAAAAAGAAGTCGTTACCTCTGCATATAAAAGCTATCAATTGGATAAAAGTTTTTCATGGTTGTTCAACAGATCAAAGGTACAACATTTTCATTACAAAATACAATGAACAGTTATGCTCCACTTTCTGTCAACAACAAAGCCTTTTGCAGCAAAAAAACAACAACTGGATCACACAAGACGTTATTGCTGCAGAGGACAGGAAGCACAAACTTTGGGCAAAATATCGAGCGTCTGATACATGTACTTATCTGACACTTTGCGAGGAGCATTTCGCTGCATTAAAAAATATGGCTAAAGTAGTAAAGTTGGCAAAATTGAGATACGAGGAGAAACTTGTGAGAGAATCAAAAACTAATACAAAACCTCTTCATGCACATGTGAAAAATAAGTGACTTGTTCAAGGTTGTACCAGATGCCTCAGAATGCCAGACGGATCAACTACAACTGAAAACACCGTCATATGCAAAATATTAAACAACTTTTTTCAGTCGGTATTTGATGTTGAACCTGAAGATTCTATGCCACAGTTTGACAAGCAAACAGAATTCAAATGTACTCTACTTGAAAACGACATAACAGTCAAAGAGGTTAAAAAAAACAGCCTAAAGATCTGATTGAAACTAAATTAATGTGTTGCAACGGTGTTCATCCACACATCTGGAAAAATTGTGTAGCTGCTTTTGCCCATTTAATAGCGTTTCTTTTTTAAGAAATCAATTTCAACAGGAGAAGCACTGAGTCTATTGAGAAAATCAATTATAACGCCAGTTTTTAAAAAAGAAAGCAAAATCAATACTTTGAACTACAGACCAGTATCCCTAACCTAAATTGTCCGCAAAATCCAAAAAGGAATTATTCACGTTATGTCTGATTGTGTTGCCAATAAATTGTTTTCAAAAGCTCAGCATGGCTTTGCCTGCAAATAAGGCTGCACAACTAATCTTCTAGTGCATGTGACATCCTGACACAGATCATTTACCTGGGTTACGCTGCCGACGTCATTTTTAAGGACTTTGCCAAAGCATTCGATAAAGTTCCTCATTGGCGCTTGCTACACAAACTGAGGGCACTCGGTATATGTGGTGCATTGTTGGATTAGATCAAAGCGTGGCTTTCAGATCGCAAACAACGTGTAGCCATGAAAAGACATATATCAAATTGGGTATCTGTATCAAGTGGAGTCTCACAAAGTTCGGTTCTAGGACCATTATTATTTGCCCTTTTTATCAACGATCTTTCAAAAAACATTGCACATCACATCAAATTATATGCAGATGACAGCAAAATCATTGGCATTATAAATTCTGAAAACAACTGTTCAATTTTACAAGATGAAATAGAAAAAACTGTGGAGTGGTACAGAATTTGGTGCATTGCTTTAAACGTGGCAAAATGCAAAGAGTCGTACATAAGCCATGGAACCAAAAGGTCAACACAACCATATTCAATATGCAACGATGACGGATCATGAATAGAACTTGCAGTTTCCAAGAATAAAAAAGTCCTTGGCATCATGGTCTTAGATGACTTAAAAGTAAAAAATCAAGTTGAAACAGGAGCCTTAACGGCCAATCAAGTACTTGGTAGGCTGAAAAAAGCATTCCGCAGTCGAGGTACCATTGTTTAAAGAACATTGTATATAGCTTATGATTGCCCGCATCTCAAGTCTGCAATACAAGCCTGGTCACTGTTTCTGAAACGCAACATTGAAACACTAGAAGTGCAGAAGTGTGTTAAAAAAATGGTTACACCTTTAAAGCATTTACCATACATCTAAAGAGTGCAAATATTATGTTTAACGACTCTTGAAGACCACAGAACACAGGGCGACCAAAAAACTGTCAGAACAAAGAAGTCTGGAAACGCTCATATGTCGCCTAAGCAAACCCATTTGCAGCATTTTTTCACTCTTGACACTAAAAGACAATCCTTTTTCTTGTGTTTTTTAATCAAATATAAATTAATGACAATACCATTAAACAAAACTTTGATTTCAAATTATGGTTAAAAAATTTGATCACGCACTATCTGACCCATACAAGATTTAATATATCTATATATATATATATATATATATATATATATATATATATATATATATATATATATATATATATATATATATATATATATATATATATATACACATACATATATTTATACACATATATATATATATATATATATATATATATATATATATATATATATATATATATATATGTATATATATATATATATATATATATATATATATATATATATATATATATATATATATATATATACACATACATATATTTATACACATATATATATATATATATATATATATAT